AAAGTTTAAAAAGATGATTACATTAATTTTAGTGAACCCCAAGGTTCGGCTTCATTAAAAAAATATTAAAATGACTTATTATTAGCCTTGCTTGATTTGGTAGTAAGTTTATGTGACTTATAATTCTTTTCTGTTTGGCCAGCACAAAGATGAGCAGAACCAAACAGTGGTGAGAGAGGGCCACTCACTACAGGATCTCTGAGGTATCTTTTATTTCTTGTATTTTATGCTTTGGGGAGAGTGTGGGCAGCTGTGCTAAGTACAGTTGTGCGATGAGGACTATTAAAAGGCGCACTGGACTTTAACTGCTTATCACCATTGATCATTTGTTTTCCTTTATAGTAAGGAGTTAAAATTTGGTTATGTCTTCATTGAAAAGATGAGGTTTTCTGCTGTTGTTTTAAAAGGGAAAATTTCCGTTGCTGTTTTTTATGCTAGTGAATTGACTCCAATTCACAGTGACTCCGTGTACCACAAATCTAGACTTTGCCTGCTCCTTCACGATACTTCCAACGTCTTCTGTGCTCGAGCCCTTTGCTGTTCTCTCTGGGTCAACCTATCTAGTCTAGGAATTCTTTTCCTCTGAAAGTATTTGAAATAAAGTTTCAGAATCCTTTTTTGTTCTTCTTCAGGAATATGAGAATTTAGTTTAGTGGGAATGAATGCAAAATGTTGCTCCTAGACACCTCAATTCTTCGATATAAACAAATACAAAAGACTGGCTATGAAGTAGTGGTAGCAAATTTAAGGTGCCAATAGACTGATTTAATTTTTGTCCTGTTTCAGATACCTGACTATGAAAATACAATGTTTTTTTTAAAATAGATAAAGCAAGATCATGTGTAAAAAAAAATTTAGAGTCAAATGAGAACTGTTGAGTATTGCCAGAAAAACTTTCAGCTTCCAAGAGATAATTTAGAAATCGATCAACTGCTTGGAAAAGTTAAAAGGAGGAAATGGTGATCTCTGTGGAAAGAACATAACTATTTACAGATTAAATTGCTGTTTATTAATATGAATATAATTTTTACTAATAATCTGGGAAGTACAGTGAATATTTGAGAACATTTAAGGAACATAATTTACAAAGACAGAGAGTAGATTACTGTTAGAACAATTTTTTCTTGTATTTCTTGATTCAATTACCACAATGTAAGTAAAATTTATCTCCATTTATTATATACCATTAATTGAAATGTTGGTGCTAGTTGCTCTGTGTGTCGGCTTCCATAAGCAGACTGCTTCTTCAGGACAGCTATGAGTGGGAATTAATTTGACAAGCAGTGTATTTTGTTCGGGTTTGGATCATACAACACGGTAAGGATATCAAGAGAGACTTTATGAAAGGGATTGTTTTTCAAGATGAGGCATTGATGGGTAGGAAGACTCAGAAAAATATAAGACTCAGAAAAAATATACTCATCACTGCAGGATGAGTAAAGATGTAAATCAAACTATTTGAGCATTTGTATGGAGAGAGTTTGTGTTGGTACATCTGTGGAGAAGGAATAGCAGTTTAGAATGTGAGGTTTAGGCAGGGGCAGAGTAACACAGTGAGCAAATATCTTGGGAATAATTTTGATCTTTACATTAATTTGTGAAATAAAAATATCACTGCCTCTTTGGAAACATTGAATATCTAAAGACACAAATGTGTAATTTTTTAAGCCTACATACTAAATAAAATTAAATAGTGTATTAGTAAAAGTGGATTTCATACATGGTCATTGTAAAGACTTAGATAATAATAGATAAAGGCACAAAGAAAAACAGAAATATTTTCTTCTACCCATACCTTTCAATCCTGCTCTTTACAGGTTTGTGTGTGTGTGGGTGTGAGTGTGTGTGTGTGTGTGTGTGTGTGTGTGAGTATATCAGCATAAATCCTTTCTACTTATGATTTAATTTATTTCTTCTTATTTATAAACCAAAATCTGGAAGCAGGAGCGGCATCCACTTCCAAAATGGCTTGCCTCCGGAAACTCTATGTACGAACAGTGCTCAGACCTTTCATTCATAGGGTCGCTATGAGTCATCTACGACTCGATGGCACCAGACAACAACAACATAAACCAAAATAGGCTAAAATGAGTACAAGAACAGCCACATCCTCTATGTATTCTGTGTAAGAGCACTTAGTTCTGCCTTAGTAATAAATGGTTGCATTATATTTTATGGAAGGAATTTGATATTAATTATTTAACTAGTCTTTTGTGAAAGAAGACTAAAGTTATTTTCAGGTTTTTGCTCATGGAAACAAGGATTCAGTAAATGTATCTCTATTTCTTTGCCTTCTCTGTTTACATGCACACATACACAAAGTTGAGGATTATTATTGCCCCCTTCTTGTGTCGCAGCACGTGAGCATGGAATATACTGTCACTGGAACATGCTTAATATCCTCCTCCTAATTATATTATGAGGCTTTCTATCTCTTCAATCTCCCAAAATCCTGAATTGATAACATACAAGAAATCTGTGCTCATCTAAACACAAATGTGTTGCTATTGTAGTATGCATTTATTTAGTTATGAATGGGATGAAGCATTTATATATGCAGGTAATTAGATTTATTTGTAAATCCTGTGGTATTTTAATGTTTATTTTCCTATTCTGCTTAGAACTTATAATTAATTCTCATTCTGATGATCTCTGTCCAATTATTTTCTCAAACACTTATAATCTCTTCATGGGCTAATATTCTTATTTTATTATCTCTTTAAAATAACTCACTATGACCGTCTACTATAACAATATGAAAAGTTGACATCCTTAGGTCTTGAAAATGCAAATAAAGCTTTTGAAAGTCTTTCCTAATGTGATTATAGAAATAACATTGTTATACTGAGGGATATCCAAGTATGAAATCCACTGTTTAAGGTATAATGTGCATGAGACATGGCTATCAAGTAATTATGCTTAAACATCAACAGAAATATTTATTTATTTAAATAAAAGGATCCTTACTTTCTACAATTATATTTTACAAAAAATATTTTCTGTAGTTATTTATTTTAATAGATTGTGAAACAGGGAGATGTGAATTGTCATGTGACTGAACTTATCTCCAAAAGCAAAACCAAAACAAAACCCAAAAATGTTCCCAACCTAACAAAACAACAAACAAAAAATGTCTTTGCCTAGTTGTGTTTTTTAAAAATGCTTTGATTATTTCATGTAATCCTAACAACTCTAATATAAGAAATAATCATTGGTTTTCTCCTTTACTTATTTCTACTCTTATCTTTACTAAGGGAGCTCTGGTGGCATGACAGTAAGGAACTTCCAACCCAGAAGGCACACAGGTCAACTCCTCCTGGGCAATTTAAGCCTCTGAAAACATGGTGGAGGGTCAACAATAAGTCAGTTTTGATTCAAAGATACACAACAACAACAATAGCTTTATTATTTCCTTTTTTCTGGACACTGTATAATTTTCTTGCTGTTCTTTGTCTAATTTTCAGAGATGCTGGGTTCTTTTTAATTTTTTCATGTGTATATTCATTGTTGTAAATTGACCTCAGAACACTCTTTTGCTGTGTCCCAAAGTTATTGCTGTTGTTGTTATGTGTAATTGAGTTGTCTGTGACTCATAGTGACCCTATGTACAACAGCCCTGATACCTGTTCTATATGGTGCCAACCTTACTCTGTCTCTGACCCACCTATCCTCATTACCACATTCACTGTACCAATTGATTGCATCGATGGTCTTCCTCTCTTTCTCTGTCACTCCACCCTTCCAAAAATGATGTACCTCTCCAAGGACCAGTCCCTCCTTGCAACATGCCCAAAGTATGTCAGACGAAGTCTCAGAATCCTTGCATCCCAGGAGCAGCCTGACTTCACCCTCTCTAGGATGAACCTATTTATTCTCCTGGCAGTGCATGGTATATTCAACACTCTTCTCTAGCACCACAGCTCAAAGGCATCAATTTTCTTTCTAGCATTCCTAGTCATTGTCCAGCTCTCTGATGCATAGCAAGTAATTGCGAAGAATATGGCCTGGATTAGGCACACCTTAGTCTCCAGAATGACATCGTTGCTCTTCAGTACTCTTGAGAGGTCCCTGGAAGCAGACTTTCCCAATGCAATTCGTCTCTTGATTTCCTGGCTGCTGATACCAAGAGTGTTGATTGTGGAGCCAAGCAAACTAAAGCTGTGAACAATCTCAATCTCTTCACCATCTATAACAATGCTGCCAATTGACCCAGTGGTAAGAATATTTGTTTTCTTGATGCTGAGCTTCAATCCATATTGAAGGATGCAGTCCTTGATGTTCTGCAGCAAGTACTTCAGGTCCTCCTCCATTTCAGCAAGCCAGGTTTCACATAACTCAAGTTGTTGATGAAACTTCCTCCAATTCTGATGCCACATTCCTCCTCATACAGTGCAGCCTCCCGGATGATCTTCTCTGCGTATAGATTGAGAAGCTATGGGGACAGAATACATACCTGTCATACATACACACTTCCTGATATTGAACCATGCAGTGTCTCCTTGCTCTGTTCTGTGACTGCCTCCCGGTCCAAGTATGGGTTTTGCACAAGCACAATCAAATGTTCTGGGATTCCCATTCTTCTCAGAGTCAGCCAGTTTGTTGTGATCCACACAAGGTTTTGGTGTGAGCTATTTCCATACTTATTTGTTTAAAGAAATTTTAAAATTTCTTCTATTACCCAGTAGTATTCAAGCAGGGTGCTATTTCATTTCCATGCACTTACTTATTTCTTCTTAATCTTTCTGTTGCTTATTTCTAAATTTATAGTATTTTGATCTGAGAAGGTACTTTTATAGTATTAGAATATTTTTATAATTTATTGATGCTTGTTTTGTTTTGTGAAATAACATATAGTCTATTCTAGAGAACACATGTTCTAATCTGAAAATTACCAAATTGTTTGTGAATTTGCCAAGATCAATTCCATTTCTCCTAAGTAACAGTTTTTCCTTCTTCTCTTCTTTCAGATAGCATGAAAGTTGTCCCTGCCAAGACAAATAATGGATGGAGGCAACCATTCTATGGTATCTGAGTTTGTGTTCCTTGGACTCTCCAATTCCTGGGAAATCCAGCTCCTCCTTTTCCTCTTCTCTTCTGTGTTTTATGCAGCAAGCCTGATGGGAAACCTCCTCATTGTGCTAACTGTGGTCTCAGATGCTCGTTTGCAATCTCCCATGTACTTCCTGCTGGCCAACCTTTCCATCATTGACTTGATATTTTGCTCGACCACAGCTCCCAAAATGATTTATGACCTTTTCAGAGAGCGTAAAACCATCTCTTTTGAAGGCTGTGTAGTTCAGATTTTCTTTATACATGCAATTGGAGGCACAGAAATGGTGCTGCTCATCGCCATGGCCTTTGATCGATATGTGGCCATATGCAAGCCCCTCCACTACCTAACCATCATGAGTTCATGGAGGTGCATTTTATTTTTATTGACCTCCTGGTTTATTGGTCTTATTCATTCCATGACTCAATTGATTTTTGTTATAGACTTGCCTTTCTGTGGTCCAAATGAATTGGATAGCTTTTTTTGTGACCTTCCTCGATTTATCAAACTTGCTTGCTTAGAAACTTACAAATTGGAATTCATGGTTACTGCCAATAGTGGACTTATCTCAGTAGCCTCTTTTTTAATTCTGATTATCTCTTACATCTTTATTTTGGCAACAGTACAGAAAAAATCATCAGGTGGTATTTATAAGGCTCTATCTACTTTGTCAGCTCACATCACTGTTGTGGTTTTGTTCTTTGGGCCATTAATCTTTTTCTATATATGGCCATTTCCAACATCACAGCTGGATAAATTCCTTGCCATCTTTGATGCAGTAATCACTCCCTTCCTAAACCCAGTAATCTATACTTTCAGAAATAAAGACATGAAGGTGGCAATAAGGAAATTATGCACTCAATTTATGAATTACAGTAAAATCTCTTAAATATATTGAGAATATAGAAAATGGCAGAGTATACTAGAATCTTATTAGAATGGTCACTGAATAAATCTTTAATCTGGTAGTTTGGTCTACTGCAGTTTCCCAAATGATCAGCGACATTCTCAGAAAATAAAAGCCAGTCTCTTTTAGGGGTTGTGTAAACCACTACTGCATTCAAGTTGCTCCATTTCATAGGACAGAGTAGAACTGCTCCATAAAGTTTCTCAGATTGTAAATCTTTACAGAAGCAGAAAGCCTCACTTTTCTCTTGCTGAGTGGATGGTGGAGTCAAGCTATCAACCTTTTAGCTAGCAGACAATGCTTAATCCACTATACCATCATGATTCTTTAACCTCAAGCACCTCCACTAAACCAAAATTGAGCCAATTGACCTAATTATTAGTATGTTTGTCTTGTCTATAGTCTGCTCTACTAGGCTGTGGAAGGGTATATAACTCAGATATTTATTCATGCAATTATTGTTGTTGTGTGCCATGGGTTTTCAGAGCCAGTAAATGGAAGGAGATTGCTTATCCTCCCCCATCTCGTGGAGCACCTGGTAGATTCAAACCACATGACTCTGGGTTTGCAGCAAAGCTTCTTACCACTAGAAGATTGCATTATTGTTGTTGTCAGGTGTCTTCAAGTTGAGTAGGACTCATATTAACCATATGAACAACAGATCTGAGCCTTGTCCAGTGCTGTGTCATCCTTACAATCTCTGATGAACTCAAGCCCATTGCTGCAGTTACTGTGTCAATATATGTGATTGAAGGTCTTCCTTCTCTTCACCATCCCTGCATCTTTTCAAATATGATGTCACTCTCCAAGGATTAGCCTCACTTAGCAACATGCCCAAAGTGTGTGAGATGAAGCTTTATCATCTTTTCTTCAAAAGAGCATTCTGGCTGCACCTTCTCCAAGACATATCTACTTGTTCTTTTTGTAGTCTGCAGGATCTTCTGTGCTCTTCTCCAGCACCATAGTTCAAAGACATAAATTCTTCTTCTGTCATCCTTATTCATTGTCCACATTTCAGATGCATATCAAGTGACTGACATGATCATTACCTGAATCAGGTGCACCTTGATCCTCAAACTGGCATAATGGCTTAATAGTTTGAAGAAGTCCTTGACTATAGACTTTGCCAGTGCCATACATCTCCTGATATCCTGATTGCTGGTGCCAAGGGTATTGATTGTGGATCCAAGCAAGATGAAGTCATTGAAAATTTCAATCTTTTCTCTACCTATCATGATGTTACATACTGGTCCGGTGGAATAGGTTTTGTTTTCTTGATGTAGAGATACAAGAACCAAAGAAATGGTACCTCTAATAGCTATGACCTTTGAGAAATATGTGATCATATCTAAATATTTCCACTAAGTGATAATTTGAGACCACAAAAGTATAATTTGATTTTGACTATTGTTCAAATCCTTGGCTTAATCCACTCTGGTTTTTGTGGTGGAATTGCCCTTCTGAAGTGGCCCTACTGTATGGAATGGCTTTTACTATACCTTATTTCAGCTCTTTAAACTTCATCGTACAGACCAATAGATTGAAACTCATGGCAAGAAAAAAAAAATCATGTCCTTGTTACATACAAAACCCATCAAATCATCTCAAAGAAGCTACAACTATCAGGGTTTTCATGCAGATCAAAAGTCTATTCATTATTTCTGTCCAAATTGATTATGGTGGTATAGTTACTATCCTAAGCTTTTTATATATAGTAACCATCCACATTGGGCACAGAAAGATTAACCAGCCTAGGGCACAACTAGCTAATGGTAGAGCTGAAACATAAATCCAAACTGTCTCTGCTTTAGCTTCCTTGCTCTTAATCCCCGTACAACATCACTGCCAAATCAATAGAATCCTATATGCTATATGTTTAATATTTGAATAAGGTTTTCTATCTTTATTTAATAGCATGAGGAGTTCTAGTGACCTAGTCTTTGGAGAGTTGTGCTGCCTGAAGATTGTACCTCTTTGGAGTTTCTAATCCACCAGAAGCTCAATGGAAGAAAAATGAGCTGTCTCCCTTTGTGCTTTTTGCAGCCTTGAAAACTCAATGGAAGGTCAACTGTGAGGCAGTTCTGACTTGATGGCAATGAGGGAGACTCAAAAGTACACATAATTAAACACAAAGCATTAATCATTCAATAAAATAAAAAGTTGTTCAAGATTTTAGTTCTGTCATTTTAATGTATAATTAAAATATCTATTTGCAATCAATAGGACTAAGACTCTCAAGTAATTTATACAACAAAAATAAGAACTTTTTCATGGTCAAGAACAATTATGTGTAAAAGGAGGATAGTGTATTATCTATTCCTTGGAGAGTTTAAATCCGTAATAGAGTCTTCTTGTTGGACAAGACTGAATCCTGAGAGGACACTGCATGACATTTGTTAATATTCCTAGAACCAAAGAGCTTGAATTTATTCCAGGAAGAGAATAAGCTAAATTTAACAATGTTCTTCTACTGACAATAGAAAATGACTGTAAAAAGGAATTTAGCCTCTTGATTCTATACCATTAAGAACTTAAAGAAAAATGAACAGTTTTTATATAGGCTTTGTCTGAGTTGGAAACTATGGTTAGAGTGATAGTAGCAGAGATTTATTTACCTTGTTTGAATTGCATAGTACATCCAAACCTAACCAAACATACTGCCATTGAGCCAATTCCTAATCATAATGGTCTTAGAGGACAGACTTGAATTGCCCCCTAAGAAGCCCTGTGGTCTAGTGGGTAGAGGGTTGCACTGCTAACCCAAAGATAGCTCAAATCTACCAGACCCTCTTTGGGAGGAAAAAAGGCAGTCTCCTCCCATTTGGTTTACAGCTTCTAAAAATACACTGAAAGGTCAGTCAGCTATAAGTTGATGTCAATTCAATGTTGTTGTTGTTGTTATGTGCCACCGAGTCGCCTGCAACTCACAGCAACCTTATGTATAACAGCTCTGAAGCCTACCCTATGTTGAACCAGTCTCATTGAATTCAGCATACCTACCCCCATTGCCCCAGTTATTGTATCAATCCATCTCATTTGAGGTCTTCCTCTCCTGGGTGGTCCCTCTCCTCCCCAAGCATGATGTCTTTCTTCATGGACCAATCCCTCCTGGTCATGTGCCCAAAGTGTGAGAGGAAGCTTAAAAATCCTAGCCTCCCATCTCACTCCCTGATTTAAAATTCTACTACACTGCCGTGGTAGTTAAGACAGCATGGTACTGGTACAATGACAGACACACAGATCAATGGAATAGAATTGAGAACCCAGAAATCAGCTTATCTATTTATGGTCAACTGATTTTTGACAAGGAGATAAAATCAGTTAGGTGGGGAAATGACAGCCTTTTTAACAAATGGTGTTGGCAAAACTAGAAAACTATCTGCAGAAGAATTAAACAAGATCCCCACCTCACTCCATATACAAACCAACTCAAGGTGGATCATGGACCAAGGAATAAAACCAAGGACTATAAATTTCATTAAAGAAAAGCTTGGAAGAACTTTAGTAGTCCTAATCCACAACATAAAGAGTCTTCCAAGTA